GGGGGGGGGGGGGGGCAAAGAACGAGGTGGTCGAAGAAGAATCAGAGGTTGCAAATATCTAATGGCATTTCAAGACTGTGCCGGCTTAAAATCTCTTTATATACAAACAGCCGTGACATTGGCACTCATAAACAAAGAGCTCAGAAAAGTTGAAAAGGGGAAAAATTATTAGTAAATCCTGTGGGTCTATGAACAGATGGAAATTGATTTTCCTATGAAGCCCATGGAAGACCATCATTATGTATGAGGCACATTTACCACGTCCATGTGGGGCACAATGTGTACACAGTGAGAGTCACCATAGCCCTATTTATCTGAAAGGCCCCTAAAGAGGAGCAGTGAAGTATTCACATGACACCTTTCAGGCACAAGTTGCTCAGTTTTTGAAACGGGTTTTACAGTCTGTTCCTTGTCTGGGAATGGGAATGAGAGGGAGAGGGAAAGTGAAGCAGAGACACCATCATCTTCTTCCTTGTTCATTACCTTGTCTGGAGGCTTGTTCTGGATACGATTTTTTTCAGCCATTCCAAAGAAAGGCAGGATTCCCTTGTTTGGGGATTTCGTCTCAGCTCCCAAGGCAAGCTCAAGATTTGGAATCCCATCAATAACTGGATCCTCATCATTTGATGAGTTCCAGGGCATGGAGATAGCAGGGAACCGACTATCCTTGACATGATGTGAATCAACGGGAAAGAAGTACCTTTCACTAGTTCCCAGGCCCTCCAAGATAACCTTTTCAGCAGATGCTTTGTCATAGCTCCTCTCCTCAACGGAGGAGCTGGAACCCAAATCACATGTCTGTGAAGTAAAACTACCGCTCAAAGAATTTTCATCTCTTGAACCACTACCCCCATATCGCCCACTAAAACCCGTCTTCAGCTTCTTACTGATGCTCTCTCCATCCACCAACGTATTATTATTATCTGCCTTGTTCCACGGAGTCATGCTACTCGAAATCAGTGGTGCACTATCTGACAAATACAAAAATGGTCGTTTCCTTGGACCTTTCCCTGAGAAAGTCTCCACATCCATGTTCACGTTATCGTCATTCAAGTCCCTTTCAACTATAATATTATCTTTGTCACTGAATGTTCTATCAACTATTGTATCCTCACCAAAAATCCTCCTGCAGCCTGAATTTTGACTACCAACACCAAAAATCTTGAAGGATGGCATATCTTCTCCAAGACATGAACCACCTTCATGAATTTGTATCTCCTTCACATCAGAGACAGAATTAGTCCGAGTTACCTCAGTACAGGGCTTCGGGTCCACATCCAGACTGCACCTAGGAGGACCAACTTCTTCCTGTAAAAAGAAGGGTCAGTGTTCATTCAAATGTAAAGGAAAGCGAAGAAGAAGCTTGAAACAAGCTTCAACGAAACCCACATATATGAGCAGCACTCAAGAAAAGTCACCGAAACCCATACATATAAGCAGCACCCAGGAAGAGAGAGAGAGAGAGAGCAAGAACAAAAAATAAAAGTAAATATTTAGGAACATATTTCCATAGAGACTTAGTTTGATTTCATTTTTTAGAAAACAATTTGTCGACTTTTAAATCCAGCATACATCTTTATTCCAAAATCATTCCTATACAGAAATTTGAGAGAATGTGTTCACTAACTCAGTAAATAGTTTTTGAAAATAGAAACATCAGCCTTGCTTGGATTGTCTTCAAAACAAAGAACAACAGTTTGAATATCAGAACTAAACAAGGCCCTTCTCTTCTGAAGTGGAGAATTTGGATAACAACTTTTAGGAATGTAAAAAAAGCACGTATTTCCAAGAAAAAAGTGAACAGAAAACAAATTTTCATGTTTTTTCTAGAACAAGTCTAGAAAACTGAAAAAAATCTCACTAGTACAAATTAGCTTCATTTTTTTTTATTAGATATTTTCTAGCTCTACTGTTTCCTGAACCTGCAAGGGCAGAACTGGGCAGCCTAATGATCCTAATTTACCACTTGTTACCAAAGAGCTTGAACCTCACTAAAGTTAATTCACTACCTTTGACTTTTAAGTTTTCTTTCTTATCCTTTTTATGGAGATGCCTTGAAGACCTCAAAGAGCAAGAAAATATGAAAGCCATAGTCATGCACAATGGACGCTATCAAAGCAAGCAAACATGAAGCATAAATTTCACAAGTTTACCCATGTCAGTCAAACTGCAACAAAATCCCCTACTGCTCCAAATCTCTCACAAAATTAGCATCGAATCAGGAAGATATTCCTGGAAATATAGAAGGTGTCAAGGGTTTCGTTGCAAGGGTTGACAAATGCTTGTCTTTAATAGCTGCCCATGATTCATTGCAGGCAGAGACTGAAGACAATGTTGAGATTTCAATAAAGTATTGTGGGGAGAGCAAATAGCATGTTAATATTGTATGAGAGGTTGTGGGAAGCTGTCTGTAGGAGTACAAAATATCCTGGTCCTTGGGCAATATAACCAAATTAAATAACAAAATCATTCATATGCATACCGTCAAGAAAATACAGGTGCAATTATTCAAATTACAAAGAAGAAAATATGTCATTTAAAAATCTAATGCTAATATATACAGGAAAAGGAATAGTTTAGGAATAGAAAGAAAAAAAAAAATCTAAAGCCAAATGCTTTATAGAATTACAATGAATCACAAATGTCGAAACCACATTCAAGCAAGTCATCCGTGCCACCTTTCTGAAGTAGCATGTGTACTAAATGGTCTGACTGGATCGTGGAGATAAAAGAAAACCAGAATGTTGCTGCCACTTAAATTTTTGAATATATGGCAAAACAACAAAACATGACGAACTTGAAAAATTTACAAGATTACTAAATTGCTGATCAGTGATGGCTAGTGTCACATTAAATGAGAAGAAAATCCAACACTAATCTGTTTATGTGTTGCATCATATGTTTATTGTTGGCATTATAGTGCACCAGACACGATAGCCATTCCACAAAGACTCAACATAGATAAAGCCATGGTATAATATCAACCAAATCAAGTGTTTTGTCATTTGTCATGTGTGAGGGAAACAAATTACCAGGCAAGGACTGCTGCATCTAGCTTCTGGGCACCATGGGTTACTGCTTCCTCGAATGTTTGTCAACGATCTGGAGTCAACTTTACCATCTTGCTTCTCTAGGTTGGTTTGTGAATTAAATACTTTGTCATCAGAGTTCCCATTTAAGGAAACACTTGGTTTCTCAGGAGCATTTGCTGCAAGATGCACATCAGAAGAACATGGACTGTCACATGCAGATGTATTTTTAACTATACATTCAGGCACAAAGATATTCTCAGATGAAGTCATGACTGCAGCGGGAATGTCTTTGTCCCTAGGCACCCCATTCAAACTGGGCATAACTAACTTCTTGAATGAATCTGAACAATCAGATCTCCTTCCCCTGAACACTCCCCACAAGAAATATAACATGTTCCAGCCTGCAAATAATAATCACAAACCATATTATTTTAATTCCATGACTTTTGAGCATACATGCAAGCTCCTCACAAATTCCTACCAGAAAAGCAGCTAAAGGCTAGCCAGCTGACTTGTGCATTATTAGTTAGCATGACAGTGCTTTTAAATTCACTAGGCTACCCCATTTGTTTCTCTTCTTAAAAGGAGAATAATACCTATAACTGACATTTTAAAAGAACTGTCATGCTTCACAAATGACCAGCTAGCAGCAACCTAGTGTATTTTAACTGCTAGCTGATCATTTCTTATGTGCATACAATTCATTCATTTTTGCCCATATAACTGTTGGTGCATTCATAACACTGTTGTTTACCTATCTTTACCTCAGATGACAAGTCTTAGACTTCATAAAACTTAAAACAATCTGAACTTTTATGCATGTTCCAACAGGTAATGAGGTGCTATCTTTATAGAAAACCAAGTAAACCATAGCATAAGCAAGTCCCAAAAAATTTTTACAATAATATTTACTTAGTCCAGAATAAGTGTCAAATAGGAGTCTGCAACCAATGAAAATCACAGGAAGGTTGGGATTGGGTGCTCCATCAACATCCATGGGGCAATATTTGATGGTATAGGTCTTACAAACATTTCATGGTTTAAAACACAAATGCTATGAGGAAATGATTATGGTGCCATGGAATCAGTGTTTATAAAATGATTTTCAAATAATCTTACGCTGTGAGTTCTCTGGAAGCTGTGTGGATGGGAATATGAAGAATTCAACACCTTCAAATGATCCTTTGAGGGCCAAATCCTTTTTAATCATGTTGTCTAACAATCTCTTGTAGTTCTCATAACTGTATCATGAGCAGTACAAAAAACAAATAGATGAATAGATGAAGAAAAAAATACTCAATCTGAAAAGGCATATTCACCTTTCAAAATTCTTTGCAAAGAAGTAAAGAGCAATATTTTCCTCTTTGACACCAGTGACAAGGAATTGTCTCGGCCATGTGCTTATGCAAGGTACTTCATCCAACTTAATTTTCTGGGGGAATTTGCTAACCACATCAAGGACTTTAGGAGATGCACAAGTAGATAGATGTGCTTGAATTCCATCATACAAGTCAATAACCTTTTCAGCTCTATGCACTTCAAACACCCCCCTGTATTTACATAACAGAAGCTTACCTACATTGCATTTTTTAAGACATGCAGCAAGGAATGTGGAGGAAAAGGCAATGTCAATGCACACACTTTAAGAAAGACAAACTTACTGCCAGATATATTCATGCTCTGGGATAGCTGACATCTTTGCAAGGACAGACTTCTCTGCTGAAGCATGAACAGACTTTAAATAAGGGGCAATGGAATCTGACCCAACCTTGAAAGGACAAACAGCATCATTGGAGTGCTCATTAAGCTGCTTCACATTACTAATATTTGTTGATTTGCAGAACTCAGAGGAAGAAGCTTGAACAGGCTTTCCCAAGTAAGGGGAAGTGGAGTCTGAGCCCATCTTTGTAAGGACAGACTTTTCTACTGAATCATGAACAGGCTTTCCCAAATAAGGGGCGATAGAATCTGACCCCACCTTGAAAGGACAAACAGCATCATTGGAGTGCTCATTAAGCTGCTTCACATTACTAATATTTGTTGATTTGCAGAACTCAGAAGAAGAAGCATGAACAGGCTTTCCCAAGTAAGGGGAAGTGGAGTCTGAGCCCATCTTTGTAAGGACAGACTTTTCTGCTGAATCATGAACAGGCTTTCCCAAATAAGGGGCGATAGAATCTGACCCCACCTTAAAAGGACAAACAGCATCATTGGAGTGCTCATTAAGCTGCTTCACATTATTAATAATTGTCGATTTGCAAAAATCCGAGGAAGAAGCACTGATGTTTGCTTGCCCTTCATCTGTTCCTTCACTCATCTTATTTAGAACTGAGAGCTGATCTTGAGAAGCTATCTCGCCACTTTCATCCACATTTGACGAGGACAACCCATCGGATTGATCAATTTCTTTCTTCTTTCTGTATATTCCAGGCTTCTTAAGCATAGCAGCAGCCTCTATTGCAGCTTTCAATTTTCTACCTTTGCTCATCTCCTCTTTAGGAATTCTAGAAGCAGATACATCTGTACCCGAAGCCAAAGGACTAACAACAGTGCAATTTTCTGTAGCATGACAAATTTCCTTGCACTTTTGACATGTGACATTTTTCAACCCAGTGATGCCAGCAGGTCTCAAGCGACTGAGAGAATTTTCCCTAGCCTTTTCACCTTGATTTGATGATTCCCGTGATCGAGGAAGGCCATCTTGCAAATTTTCAGTAGCATTACTGGCAGCATTCCAAGAACTGGATGACGGTTCATCCTTGGGGTTAATTTGGTTCAATTTTTGTTCCGCAGAATTACTGCTTATTCCATTTTTAGATGAGGCTTGAACTGAATTGGCAAAAATAAAATAGCAGCTTAGTTTATCTTACCAAAAAATAAAAAATAATCATCACAAAATACAATCAGGCAAAACTGACGACATTATATTTTGTCAAGTCTATCAATCAAGAAATACCTGAAGTAACTGGAGTATCTGCACCTTTACAACCTGCACTGCTAGTTGATCTTGATAGGGTACCCAATTTTCCATTAGATTGTGCGGACTTCAACTCTCTGTTGTTGCCTGTGGATGATGCTATGACACTTTCACCACGAGTGAACCCTTGATCGACCTTAGGTGTTGAAACAACAGCACTACTTGTCATTGAACTACCTGGAGGGCGACCCAATCTCAACAATTTTTTTCTATCAACAGCATCCCGGTCTTTCACCTGTTTCAATCCTCTTGAATCTTGAATGTGAGAGAATTTGGATGAAAGCATTTTAACTTTCAACTCATTAGTGCTGGATCGGCCCGAGCTCGCAGATTTAAATGACATACTTTTCCTCATCATTCTAGCAGTCCCCTCCTTCATATCAAGAGAACTCTCTCTAGCGCCCTTATGCTTTTGAGGAACTTCATCGACAAGCTTCACTTTCATTTTGGAATTTAAGGTGTTGAACGAATTGGACTTCAGTAAGGCCCCTGTAGAAAAAAGAAATTGACTTGATGCTTGACATTATCAAACCAAGTTTCTAAGAAATGTTAGAAAGAGCAAAGCTATAGTCTGTTCAACTGTCAATATCAATTTTATGGTTAATCTCATTTGAAAACATATTTGGAGGAAACACTTAAGGGGCTAACATTTGAATTAACCCCCATAATGGGGGGTCATAGGTTAACCTAGTGGGGGGAGAGTCTCACCCAATTTGCCACTTACACTTGCACATCATTATTAGGCCACGGCAACAGACATTATTGACAAATAATTTTTAAAATGTTTAATTTAAAATTTATTAGGTCCCACCATTGTACATATATTTACACCTATCAAACATCATTAACACGTGACCCTTCAACAACTTTTTTACACCATTAATACTTCACAACTTAAAACTTGACTTCCAAATTTTTACCCCGAAACAAAAACAACCTTATATTATGCATGGTGTGAACATATTAGTTTTTTTTTTAACACCACTTAATGAATTCTTTATGTATTTAGTGATTATCAGACCAAACATCACATCCTAATTCTCCATCCCTATTTATTACATGTCAACCTTTTTTTGATAGGCATTCCAATTAAATAAACATTTTGGTTCATCAACAATGCAAACAAAATTCTGAATTGAAGATATTGATTATTTAACCTATTGCTGTCCAATGGATCTGAAATTGAAACATAGATCCACATAAATGGGATCCTAAATCTAATGTTGGTTTAATGAAACATAAATTGTGGACTGCATTGAAAGTTGTGAAGTGGTGCAAAACCAAAGTGCCAAACATTCAAAACATCTATACATAGTACAACATGAATATGAACAGCAAGGAACATGAGCCAACAAGGTTCTGATTCTTACCCTTGGGAGTTTGAACATGTGGACCATTCACAGAAGGGCGCGCAATTTCCGGAAGATCAATATTGGAGCGATTGCCAAAAGATGTTTGATGAGCTATCTTTACTTTTCCTTTATCTAAGCTCTTGAATGAAGTATCCCGAGACACTGCAGCTATTCTGCTAGGACTGCATGACTTGGGTGATGCCAAACTTGTTTCAGTTGCCTGCCTTTTGGGTGCCAAAGCCAGCTCCATGTGTTCTGCATGTCTCTTGCCAGAGCTCTGAGTACTTGCTACATTCATCCTTTTTTCCTCAGCATCTGAACATTCAAATTAATTTGGAAAGGATACTAGTATGAAAATGCTTGTGTCCAGGAAGTGGTTTTTTATCACCAAAATAAATGACAGTTTGGACTGCTACTTCAGGTTTACCTTGCTTTTGATTTTCAGCTTCTTCAGCCAACTTGCATTCTTCACACAACCAGTCACCTTCAGGAAGTTTCTGAAGCATCTCTCGCATACAATAGCTGATTAGTAGCAATAGCCATGTTAAAATGTGATGTAACAATTGATAGGATAAAAACAAAAATAACCAGTTTGGGTTGCCAGCTGAATACATAGAAAAAAGTTGTATATTCTTACATGTGTTCTGCACCATCTGCGCACCTACTACATATAGCAAGAAAATCCTCCCGACCTGCATCCCCGCAAATATCACACACTTTTACCTGTATCATGGAAGCAAATAGTTCAGAAGAGGACAGAGGAGAAACTGCAAGGGCAGAAATTAAGGAGCACACCACAGAGAATAGAAAAAACAGAAAGAAGGTAACACAAACATATATGAGAACCAGAGACATAAACTGGATGGGAGAAAATAATTCCAGACTACCAGAATGCAAGATGTGTAAATTGAAAAGAGAATGCAAAAACAAGTTCTGTAAACATTCATCAAGCACTCATTAAGCAGATGCATGTACATTCCTTCTTCCTAAACAAGTATAAAAAAATTACTCACATCATGTTCCAGAATTTCAGACTCGTCACTCTCATCCCCAGATGCAGATTGCAACGTAGGCTCCTGCATATCTGCTAATTCATCTGACTCATTCAACTTCTCTTTTCGTTCAACTTGGTCAGAACATTTAAAACCCTCATCTGCTTGGTCCCCACTATCTTTGTCTGCCTCTAATTCTAACTTTGAATTGATTTTACATGAAACCTCGGAACTATCTGCATTGAGGGTACTTTTACCATTTGCATTGTTATCAGAAATGTTGTGTGCAGCCAAGTTGCCAACACAATCAATATTAGCTGATGCTTCTTTTGACAATGATAGATTGACTTGTTCTGTTGGACATTCAAACCGTTTTCCATGGTCATGTAAAGCTGGATCTTCATCTAAATGTTTCCCATTTGAATTAGAGGAAAGGCACTTAGTCTGGACCTTTGGTGAGCTACTGCAAGCATCAACATCATTTGAAGGAGTCTCAAATGAACCTGATTTATGAGAAAATGGTGCCTTTCCAGATCCTTCCACTTCTAAAGCTGAACTGTGCAAACAATTTTTCATGTCTAAATTCTTGTTATAATAACCAACCACTTTGCTTGCATCATTAGCTCTACTAACACATGACATGTTATCATCATGGCCCTCTTCAGATTTAGAATCCACATTGTTCTTTGAGAAAGTTTTCTGATCTGGAAAACTCTCTGCTTTTGGAGAAAACTGATCCTCTGCAATGGCTCTACCAGAGGACATCTTCAGACGCATCAGAGACTCAGCTGACGCATCAGCATCAGATGACTTTCTGTTTACTTTACTTTCTGCATTTTCAGACAGAGAATCATGACTTGAACTAACACTGAGCAGGTTGCTTGCTTCACTGGTGGTATGCTGTAAGCTGTCACGTGCTCTACTTTTAAACGAGACTAAACCATCACCATCATTATTAGAATACTGACTTGATGCAGTTACACGACAGGTTTCATCAGAAAACTCATCACCCTTTGATCCCATACAGGCTGGCTTAAGATGCCTACAAGATGAACAGGGAGCAGAGCACACATTACAGGTCCCAGACTCAGCGCTGGTATGAACTTTCCGTCTCATGGAAGGTTTGCCTAATCCTTTTTCAACCTGTGATGATTCCTAGTAAAAATAAAGCAGAATATGGGTGATCAGATAAGAAAAACAAAGCAAGGGTGGGGATTCACACCTTTTTAATGAAGAAACCAAAAAAAGGCACTTTAACTATCCCTCAAATAGTAAATTTCCATGCACATACATTTAAAAACAAAACCAGACTATATAAGGTTTGCATTTAAGCTAATAAGCACTTTTGCTGCGGTTTTCTTATCATATGTAAAGGCGGGAACTAATTTACTTGCATGCTGCCTGTGGCTGATCGTGCTGCAATAATCATCTTTATCAGCAATCAAGCCTTACCCATACAACAAAAGCAACTGAATTGTGACAATGCTGCTTAAAGCATGGAATTATTTATATTTGTTGAGTGGTAAGCCATTGTGCTATTAGGATGCTTCCTTCCATAATGAAACACTTCTTCATAAGACAACAACTCATCCAATATGCATTTCAAAAATCCTTTTGTTAACAGATGGTCTTATTGCTTTATCCTCCCCGGGAAACATTTTGAACACCTATCTACCATGAGAAACAAAAGAACAATAGTTTTTCCACACATTCATATTTCCTCAAAAATCATATACATCCACTCCCTATTTTGTATTAAGACAACAGAAGACAAAAGAATGTCAAGCAAAAAGGTAATTGTGGGAAGCTTCAACCAGTCCAAGAGTGACTATTTCTTCAACTGGAATGCACACTGTCTCCTTAATCAAACTAGAAAACTTCTCCCATTGGCCCCTAAGAGCGTTCAAGATTATGCACTTCAAGCATATTGGAAACATTTATTCAAAAAGACAAAAAGAAGGTAGAATTCAATTATCTGTGTTAAAATAGCCAAGGAGCATCAACTATCACTGCCTTTAGGTTGAAACCAAGGGAGAACTATACAACATCACAAGTTTTCTCATAGCCAAGGAGCATCAACTATCACTGTGTCTTTAGGTTGAAACCAAGGGAGAACTATACAACATCACAAGTTTTCTCTGTTGAAAACCAACTTATACCTAATTAAAACTAAGTATTCCTATGACAGAGAATATTCCTTGACAGCTTCATTTTTACACCCTCGTGAAGGTAACAATGATAAGCAAGTTCCTATCAAATGCCAACTGCTCTTCTACAATGCCCAAAGAAGGGAATAACACAGAAAACAAAATGTATGCCTTGATTATCAAAAGTGCAACCAATTCTGAGAGTACCTTCAATCATTTAACAATGATAAGCTAGCTCCTATCAAATGCCGACTGCTCTTTTACAATGCTCAAGGATGGGAGTAACACATAGAAAACAAAATGCATGCCTTGATTATCAAAAGTGCAACCCATTCTGAGAGTACCTTCAATCTTTTCTAGGATTTATTCCCTTTATATATATATATATATATTGGTTAGCTCTAGTAGTGAGAGGTTTTGCAGCTACCACCTTTACATCTATAGAAATAATAAGATGGAGCAGGAAAATACAATGTTGTACTTGCTTGATCACCAGAAATAGACAAAAGACATTGTGCTTGGTAAGATCATTCCTTTTAGAAACCCGCTTCCTATCAAGCAGTGGTGGAGGCAGGGGGGGGGGGGGGGGGGGGGGGCCCCTGCAGGAAATTTTTTTCCCAGCCCCCTCCCTTGTAAATATTATAAAAATAATTAAAAATTTAACTTTGCTCCCCTTAATTTTTAATTTGGCCCCCCTTAGTTTTTTTTTCATGCTCCGCCCCTGCTATCAAGGATAAGCTTACCAACAAGACATATTGATGTGACAGGAAAAAAAAGAATAAAAAAATAGATCAAGCAACCCATAACTCCTAACCTAAGAAGGTTGTAAAAGGAATCAACAAGAAAATAAATTGTTATGTGGACAATAGCAAAGAAAAAACAAAATTGAAAAATGTTAAACTTTCACTGTAAAATTAATGCACCCCAAGCAATATCACTACAGGTGTTCTCTCCTTAGCCCCAAGACGTCTCCAAAAGCTTAGTTTTGCGACGGTGCTCATCATTTGAACAAGTTCATTGGCAAGTATATGAGAAACAGCAATATATGGAATCTTGCAGGACTTCAGAATAATGGTTGAATTCAAAGTTGATTCAGAATACAGCATTTGCTAGATTAACTATGTTCCATCAATGGTAATGAGAGTCCACATTCAAGATAATAAAAACAAATAAAATAAAATAAAATAAAAACACTATGGCTCAAGGAAATATATAGATAACACTTATAGCTAGATTATTATCCAAACACTCCGTTGGAAAAACTTCAATGAAAGAAAAGAATCAATGCATCTTAAATTCTACCGATCCAGATGAGATACCAAATTGCGGAATTCAATTTCATCTATTTATGCTACACAGATACATATTTTCATTCAATGGAAGGTGCTCCCAATTAAAGTAAACTCTATGGGGAAAAGGAGTGAAGAAAAGAGCAAACAAGATAAAGAAAAACAGAACGTAAATTACCCTTTCTCCTCACCATGCACTTCTTCTGAGTTTCGTCTAATGGCCCTCGCCTACGAAAAAGCACAATCGAAACCACAATCGAATCAGCAAAAACTAAGACTTTCCAAACATACGCCAAAAACACAAAGTAAATATAAAAACAATCAATCAATAGAGCAAAAGAAGAAAAAAACTAATCGACTGAGTGACCCCAAACAATCCAAAATCAATAAGAAACAATCGATTAAACAAAAATTAATAGAGAAAAAGAAAAGAAGCCCTAAAATTAAAATAACATACATGCCTTTGTTTCCCCAATTATGTCCGTCGCATTATATAGCTCTTGAACGTTTCTTCCTCTTCGCTTGGCTGTCATCCCCTTCTTCACTAACACGATCCACCACAATCGAACACCATCAATCCCTAATTTTTCCCTCCAAATTTCACAATAATTATCACCTATTATTATTATTATTATTTCTCTCTTCTGACTTTATTTTTAATATTAAACACACAGAACATAACTACTACAATCAGATTATATATATCTAATCATACAAGAGGATCTAATTAATACACACGAATATCTGCTATTTATTTATTTACTTATTATTATTTTAATTTATTAAAACCCCCCTCTCTCTGTATGATGTGGAAAGAAACTATTGAAATGGTCGGTTTAAATAAATACTAATTAAATCCATAATCAACTCTCTCTCTCTCTCTCTCTCTCTCTCTAAGCTTTTGATTGCTTCTCTCTCTACGTGTCTGTGTTCTATTGATCTTTTTCTTGCACTCACAAGGACTGAGGTTATCTTTTTTCTTCTCTCTAGATTTTCTCTCTGTTATTTTTTTCCCTTTTTCTTTCTCCGCATTTTTCCCGGAAATAAGTTTAGAGTCAATTAGTTTTAATCTCTGCATTCTTAATATTATTATAATGCAGTCCTTCATATTTATAAATCTATAATTTAACTCCTTAATCTTTGGTGGTCATTCTCATGTTATATCATATTTTAGTTTCTTCTTAATCTTAAATCTATCATTTAATTATTTGATTTCATGTTTTATTAAACAAACTACTAGGGATTAAATCATATCCTATAAAATATAATAAACCAAGTTATAATTGTGTTAATATAGAGACTAAAAAATAATTCACTCATAATGTTTTTTTAGTCCCCATAGAGAATAGGTAAGTGCTCTACAGAGATTTTAAAGGATTTTTATTTTGTTTTTATTGTTTAATATTTATATATAAAAAGTGTTTATCTAATGGAATTTCATATAAAGAGATTATTTGTATTTATGAAAAGCCTCACGTGACATTTTTGTAAATAATTATTAGATTTAAAATCATTAAAGTATCTTTTATATAGAAAATGTTAAACTTTAATTTTGATCATGCATTGTCTTAATCAAGAGTAACAACATATGCATGTATTGACTATAATATAAACTATATGAATGTATTTAAATGATTAAGAAATTACTCATCATTTTAGGTGAATTAAAAAAAATATTATATTGTTCTTTAATAATATTGATTGTGAAATCTATCTGTAAGGCGAAATGAGGTTTGAAAGAATTTTAAATCTTATTAAGAAAATCAATGACAATAGTTTTGAGAATAAATATGATTTGATAAAGTAGGCACATTTCATACTCCAATCCAATATATAAACCGAAATATTCTTGATAAAATGATATTAATTACATCGAGAAACTGATCACTAAAGGTTAAATCAAATTATATAAGATTTTTTTAATATTTGAGGAATCGTAACATATTGCTAAACGATACACTTGATCTTTAAATACAAATTAAACAAATTTTAAATTCATAATAAGATAAATTACTTATTTAATCCTATTTTTTATTAAAATTGATTTATATATGGATCAACGTATTAAAAACCATAAGTAAGGAATTAACTTATAATGATTAATCAAGTAAAACTTGATTTTAAATAAATTTTAAAAATTAAAGACTAAAGTATAATGATTACAAAGGATTACAATTCTAAACTTGAAAAAATCAAGTAGAGATTTGTTTGTATAAATTCCTAAAATTATCTTATATGTGTATTTTTTAGGGGGTAAAATGATATTTTATCATTATTCTAAACAAATGATTCTTTTGGATTGTATGGATTAGGGCCTTTTTTATTTCATTGATTTTACTCTTTATTTTCTAAAATCTATATTATTTGGTGTGGTTATGAAGAAATTATGAAATGCTTTGCTTTATTTTTTTTTTTTGGTATCATTAGCCTTCAAATCCTTTCTTAGTTATTTGATGCTGGCATAGAAAAATTTCTTCCATAATCTTGGCATAATAATATTTATTGTTTTATTTTATTAATGGTTAATATTTCTAGGTTTTAAAGAGTTTTAAAAGAGTTTTAAAAGAGTCACAGTGTAGTTTGGCAAATCAAGTATAACTTTTAATCTAATTGTTAAGTCGACCTGAAAGTTTGATTAAAAACTCTGAAGGCCTTGTTTACTCTTATTTATTATTAAATTATAATTTCATGATGATAAGAGATCAGAAAGCCCTCAAATCAAGCTTGAAAGTTATTATGTAGGGTTGTTTTTATTTACCTTATTATATTTGGATTATTTTTCTTATTTAAATTATGACTTTTAATTTAATTCATATTTTACTATTTAAAAATTCTAATTCTAGATGAATTCTATTAATTAGGTGAGTTTTAATTAGAAATCATGTTCTATAATAAATCTTAGAACTAATATAAATAGGAACGTGCAGTTTATTTTAAGGAAAAAAAACTACTATTTAGATTTCTTAACATATTAAAGAGTTTTATCTAGATTTCTCTTAAGCTTATATTTGTATTTTGTAGCTTAAGAACCATATCTTCTATTTACACTATCAAATTAAAAATAATAATATAATATAAATTAAGGTGTAATGTAATGAAATAAGAAAAAGAAAAGAAAATAGAGTTAAAAAGATAAAATAAAAGGAGTTGATGGCTGGAAATTCTCATTTTTCTAGTAGTGAAAATGGTGTAGCCATTTTGAGAAATGGCTAGACTAATTTATATAAATTGGTCGAACTATTTTTCAAAACAATCAAACCATTTTGGCTATTATCTTTGTTATAACCCGATGGTCTGTAGCAAGAAAGGAAAGGGAAATTTCATTTCTTCTTTTCTTTCACCTTGAATGACTAGAAAGTGATGATTAGGATTAAAAAGAGAGTGTTTTGTGAGAAAAGAATACATCTGTACTATGAATTTAGAAAATGATCAATAAGAGAAAAGATTGAAATAAAGAGAGATTAAGAAAAAAAAGAAAGAAAAAGAGAAAATCTTTGGGAAAATCTTGATGAATCAAAATTTTAAATACATTTTAAAACCGGGTAAGGTGTTCAAAACCTCTTTGTATTAATTTGTACAAGAGTTTAATGATTTAACCAAAAATTGATCAAAATTGAGTTAGGGTTTTAAGATGAAATTTAGGGGGAAAGTGAAATTCTTAGAAATTATGGTTTTATGATCCTTATAGGTTGTTATGGAAATGGAATCATGTTGAAATAACAAATAAATATGGATGGGTAATGAAGTCTAAGTGTCAGCTATTAATAGACGAAAAAAGAGATTTGATGAATTTCTAGTACTCTTGTAAATTGTGATAACTAAACACATGGGAAATGGTTTAGATGAATGATTATATTTCTATATGATAAATGTGAATTTTAATGTTATAGGAATTTAATGTCTCTAAGAAATTGACAAAATTAAAGTGAGTTTTAGTTGTGTTAATGCTTGTAGTTTATTGTGATGAGTTGATTATTGAATTACCAAGGAATTGGTGGTCAATTGAATGAATAAGAAATGGTTGAGGTTTTAATCTAAGAAAAATTATCCTTTGTTTTTATAAGGTTTCAGCTAAAACAACAAAATGAACGGGAAAAATTGTTAACATGAGATTTTGTTTGAAATGTGTTAGGTTTAGCATTTGATGAATGTGTAAAGGATTAATGAGAAATTTTTTTTTCAAAAGATAACATATCCTTCTCTTTTTGGTATTTTCAACTAAAAGATAAATAAATTGTATTGTAGTAATTGTTTATGTATTGATTTGTTTGTGTAAAATAAAGTTAATGCAAGGAAAAATAGACATTTAACATTGAGCTCTTAAAATTATATGAGAGATGTTGGGGGTATCGAGATAGGATCCTACACATAGAACTCGAATGTCAAGTAGGTGCTCGATACCTTATTAATTATATTCTATTTAAGATTATTAAAACATCATAGTTAAATGTTCATTGGTGCTATTATTTGATATGAGGTCGTTGCCATGTTCTAGGTTGGATAACTAGTTCTTGGTTTAAGAACTAATGCTCTATTTTGGGTTATGAATCTAGATATCTTAAATAGGATTAATGCATTATTTCTGGGCAATATAAAGGTTACCCTAAATGAGGGTCTGCTATTTGGGTTTGAGTTAAGAGATTGTTGTAATTAATATGAAGAAAAGATAAAAATGAATTAAGTTAATTGTTAACTTAAAACGTGGAGCATGTCTGTCATATTAAATCATGTTTGTTCTCAACATAATAATCATTGATCATTTAAATAAGATTTGAGATTTTTTTAAATCTCATTTGATCTTAGCCAATGAATTTCTATTCAATACTATTGTTTTAACTTATTTTTAGGTCCCTACATAAAAAGAAAAAAAAATTAAAAATACAAAAAATACAAAAAAATTAAAAAATATAACAGTGAAAAGAAGATGTCAAAGTACCCCAAAAATGGTTGAGGAGGTTTAAAATTACAAAAATTAAAATTTGATAGTATTTTGTTGACTGATAAGAGCCTTGTTAACAAAGAAAATTCAAATTAAAGAAGAAAAGTCCAAGATCAAATATTTATGGACTCAAATAAATTTATTGAAGGTTTAATTGAATTTATGAAGGGTTAGATTGCAAAAAAAATTGATTTTGAAGTCAATTTGGTCTTTAATTAAAAGAAATTAAAGTTTTGGGGTCAAATTATAATTTTTTAGAGTTAATTTGATCAAATCAGGGGTTTAATTACATAAATATTGAAATTTGATGACCAATTAAGGACTTAATTAAAGAAATCCAAAACTAAGGATCACACTAGAAAAGGCATGTAAATATAGCTTCTATAACTAAAACCAAATTAGAGGCCCATTTGAAGAAATTAGAAGTATATTGCTCAATTAAGAGTCAAATTGCATTAATTCGGGATCAGGGGTCAATTTGAAAAACATGGCCAACTTCAAGGCCGGAGATTGAATTAGACACAAATACAATTAAATTGATTTTTATAATCAAAATTGCAATGGAGGACTCAATTGAACAAATCATAAATTAAGGACCAATGTAAACTTTAACACCTTTTGCCACCTTTTTTTATTTAAATAAAACGGCGTGTTTTGTTCAAAACAACGCTGTTTCATGCATTGTTAAAAAAAAAAAAGACCTAAACGATGCTTTTTTGAAAAGCAGTGTCGGTCTTCTTCTTCCCTTGGACATGTGAAGCAAGGGAAGAAGAAGATTTTTTTTCCTCTGTCACCGCCATCTCTCTCTTCAAAAAGACACCGACTCCCTCTTAAAAAGACACAAGCCAACCCCACTTACTCAAAAACACTTTACAT